CCTAATAAATGTCCTTACAGAAAATCTAACTGCTCATTTTAAATCTACACTTTGACTTTTAATACTTAACTACAACAAATATCACATACTTTAAGACTTTTACTACTTAACTACAACAAATATCACATACTTTAAGACTTTTACTCAAGTAATATTCCTAAAGGAGACTTTAACTTTTACCAAGTCATTTTTTAGTAAGATACTTGTACTTTTACTTAAGTATCACTTTGTGGTACTTTATWCAACACTGCTCATTGGTGTGGTTTTAAACAATATCTTGTGTAGTGAGAAGAACATGTTGGGATGATTCCCAGTTACTTTTACACCAAACTGTTGCTGATTATTTGTAAAACTGACTGGGTTATACATATTTATGTGTTGGCAAATATTAGCATGCTGCGGCGGCCATCTTGAATCCAGCTGGCTCCAAAATCCAATCAGAAGCAGACGAACATCCAACTGTTATTTCCTGAGAGTTTTGTTCAAATCTGTCTAGTTGTTCTTGATTGAATCTAGTAACATTTTACAGAAATATCACAAATATTTATTTAAGCTTTGGGGCATGTGTTAGAGGGGACCCTCAGCTACTACCACACCAGACTTTAGCTTGATATCTTCAAACCTAACAGAGTTAGACATGTTGGAGTTCACTGAGAGCAGCTGACTGATGTTGAACTGTAGCTGTACCTCCAACAATGAAATTCATCCAGTGGTTCACGAGATATTTTACTGACACTACAGACAAACAAATAGAAAGAGGTGATTATCTCTATATTATCTCGACCTTTAAGTGAAAGAGATAAAAATGTGTTTTTATTTTAGAAACCGTTAAAAACAGTTCCGCCTCAGCAAACATGTTGGGTAATAACTTTTTTTTTTTGCAGATGCTGCACCATTTACCAAATGCTTCTTCTGCGCACGTTAGCACGGGAAACCGATCTTTGTGGCATTTAATTATGGAAATGAAAAATGAAGTGTCAGTTTTATGCATGTTTTGGTCTCGGAGCTCAAATAGAAGAATCGGTCTGACCTTGTAAGAGTCTCTGAATAAACCAGCAGCAGATTCTACCAACAGGGTGGCATTTTAAATACTTGGAACAAGTTTTCTCCCAAACCAACTTCTTATCTAAACACTGGAGATAACTGTGATTATCAGCTCAGCTGATTATCTCTGGTCTCTGCTGAGCATCTCGGCGCCTCTCATCTCATCGAATCAGCTCGGCTGCTGCCAGCGTCGCCGTTTTGATTCGCTGCCCCCCGTCGTCCCGCTGCGGGGAAATAAATAAATAAAGCGGCAGCCAAACAGAAACACTCCTCTTTTCTAACTGAAACGCTTCCAGTTTGGGTTTCGAGCCTCAACTTGTTCCTTGTGCTTTCAACCAGAGCTGGGGCTGGTTTGGAGCCAAGAAAACCAGGAGCAGAGGAACACTGAGAGGCGACGTTACGGTGACAAGACGTTTACAAACCGCCCTCGTTGGATTACATTATATACGCTCCGAGACAGATTTTATAGGCCAAGGAGCTAAAATAAAGTCCTGGTTTCTAAATTCAGAACTGTCGCTGGGAGAAGCATCAGGGCTGGGTAAAACAGGGTCAAAGATTTAGATTCAAACTGGCTTTAAGATCACATTTCTGCACAGATTCAGTTAAAAACCATTTCCATGCTTCTCAAACAGTGACCAACAAGTTTTGAAGAAGTTTACACTGAAGTTTACACTCAGAAACAAACAGCTTGTTTTCTTAACTTCTGCTGTTTTCTGGTTTAAGCATCATCATCATCATCATCATCATATAAACCCATACAGACATCAATCCACAGACGCACACTGTTTTTGTACGGTTTATTTTATTTGTTTATTAACTTTTTAAAGTGATTTTTAGTCAACCGTAGCACAGAAACGGCTGCACCGATCAACATGAAATTTGTCAGGACTGTAGGTGAGTCCGACCCACACTGCTCCACCCAACGGTTTTACGATAGACCCCATATTTGAGGAGGGGGCTCTATCTGAAAAGGGGGTGTCTGGACATACAAAAATGCTTATAACTTAAAAACTATTCAATGGGCTTCAGTTTTGTTTGTTTTTTTAGCTCTGATGAAGCTCTATCCATTAGGAGCCCCCCACATCCCCTCAAGTCCCCCACCCAAAACAATAAATCTGTCCAGGTGAGTTGCAGGGCGTGCTGGACAGGGTTATTACAGTTAACTAAAACTAACTAAATAATAATAATAATTAAAGCTGAATTAAAAGGGAAAAAAAGTCACAACAAAATAAAAATAAACTATAATGAAAAATCCTATGTTATAACCTTGGTGCTGGGTCATGTGTGCCAATGATTTCCAACCAGGGTATGGTTGTGTAATGTGTACCCCTTGGGGTACATGAGCATATTACAGGGGGAACGTGGAAAAATTTCCCAGGTGTGTAAAAAAATATTACAGGGCCCTATGATTTCCACAATGTGGAAATTGCAGATGAATCATGGAATTACCACAAAATGGAATCCAGTACAAAATGTGGGATCTCATGCAATTTGCTCATTTGGGCGAGTTTCTGATGTATTTTGGACGCTGCTGTTTTCTGCACCTGCTTTATTTATTTAATTACTTATTGACTTTCAAGGCAACATTTTTATGTTTGAGTTGAAAACAAAATGCCTGAGAATTAAACGTTCTAGACAACGTTCAAGGTTTGGACTGCCCATCAGGGTAAATTCAGATCGAGGGACACATTTCACAGCTGAAGTGATGCAAGAACTGTGGAAGACGCTAGGCRTTAAAGCCAACTTCCATATTGGCTACCACCCACAGGCATCAGGCCAAGTAGAGAGAGCAAACAGAACTGTGGTAAGTATTTTAAAGAAGTACGTAGCCGCAAACCACAARGACTGRGATGTGAAACTYCCCYTKGTCCTCATGGCCATCAGGGCCACTCCACACAAATCCACAGACATCTCTCCCT